CTGTGTCCCCCATCTGTATATATACTGCCTACCCATGTGATGATTCCCACTCTCTCTATCACTTGACCATACCTCTTACTTTTGTGCACTTTTCTCTAAACGATTAAAAAATGACATTTTATAATAAAACCATATACACATAGTGATTATATGTACGAGTTATCGTTCTTGAAAAACTTCACAGTAGTAAAATAGGTAGCCGGTTTCCTGAAGTACAGCAAAATGGACACATGTGACTCATTGATTATAAAGACCTGAACTAATGACTGGATTGCTTTGAAATACTTTAACACACTGTGCTGTCAATAATAAACATACAATATTCATCAGTTTAATATTAAACATTAATATATCCGGAAATTGTGATACTGTCTTTATACATTGGATTTTCAACTAGGGAGTACATCCTGTTTCCGTTTATCAATACACTCCTATGACCTTAACTGAAACTCATTTAGATGAAACTCATTTAGATGATCAGGTTTCTATAGACGACTTACTTATAACTGGTTTTCATGTACCTTTTCGACTTGATAGACATTTCGCTGGTGGTGGTGTTCTGGTTTATATCAACAAAATTTTAAAAGTTGACCGTTTGCTGGAATAAGAATATCGGGGTGATGATATTCTTTAGTTCAAAATCACTCTACCAAATTTTATATTGGTTATTGGTTCCGCCTACAGACCTGAACATTCTGTTTTACCATTTTGGGAATTTACGTACGTCCTTAAACCTTGCCCTAGATATTTCACCAAATGTTATAATCACGGAGGATTTAAATGTCGACTTATTTACTGCATCTCGGAACCATGTTTTTCTTGATATTATTCATTCCTTTAGTATGGTAAATTTTATAAATGAACCGACTCGTATTGGACCGACTCGATCTAGCCTACTTGGCCCTATACTTTTAACAGACTCATTTCCCTGTATTGACTCCTCTGTTATAAAAATAGACAAATCACTCAGTGACCATGACGGTTGCATTGATTGCATTGCTATTTGTATTCTATCAAAAGAGTTAACTATGAGACCTAATGATAAACCATGGATGACCTCTGAATTAAGAAAAATAATAAAAATTAGAGATAAGTTGCATAAAATTGCGAGGTCAACCAAACAACTTTCGGACATCAACACATTCAAATCTCAACGGAATAAGGTTATTAACATGAAAAAGTATGCAAATAAATTATTTTATGAAAATGTTCAAATGTTCATGGTATTATTGAAGAGTACTCATCTTCTGATCCAAAAGCTAATTGGAGACTCATCAAAAGGTTTCTACAATAGTCTGGTTCGACACAATCTATACCTACACTTGTAGATCCTGTTTCTGATAATTTGGTTACTAGTGACGAAGACAAAGCTAATTTATTAAACGACTATTTTTGCAATATTACTCGTGTGGATGATAGAAATACTGAGGTTCCTTACATCCAGTCAAAACCTGACAAGAGTCTTAGGTCCATTAGAGTCAATAATAATGAAATAAGAGATATTTTGCAGATATTGAAGCTTGGTAAGGCCTCGGGTGAGGATGGAAACAGTCATCATATATGCTACGAAGCACATCAGAAACCGTTTTTGTTCCCCTTGAAATAGTTTTTAATGTCTTTATCGTCTAGTGTTTACCCAAACACGTGAAAAACAGCCAAAGTTATGCATTTGTTTAAAAAAGGTGACAGGCATTCTCCCTCTAATTACAGAACAATTTCTTTATTATCTACAGTTGGCAAAGTGTTTGAGAGTGTAATTTTCAAATACTTGCAAAATTATTTTATTGAAAACTCATGTTTTTACAAGTATCAGTCTGGTATTTTGCCTGGCCATTCTACTGTATATCAACTCATTGAAATTTATCATAACATCTATATTGCTCTAGAGGGAAAAAAAACATGTATGTATGGTATTCTGCGATATTTCTAAGGTTTTTGATAGGGTTTGGCATAAGGGTTTGGTGACTAAGTTAAAATCTTAGGGAATTTCAGGAGAATTTTGTCAATGGTTGGAAAATTACCTATTTCAAAGGCACCAGAAAGTCTTTTTGAATAATACTTACTCCCACTTAGGTTTCATTGAAGCAGGTGTTCCTCATGGTTCGATTCTTGGACCTCTTTTGTTTCTTATCTATATTATTGATATTGCTGATGTTTTTGAGTCAACCGCTCGTCTTTTTGCAGACGATACTTCTTTGTTAAAATCATCCTCTTCGTGTCTAGAAATCCAAACGGTTCTGAATAGAGATCGCGAGTCTCTTATTGCATGGTCCCAAACTTGGTTAGTAACAATGCATCCAGAAAAAACTGAAGTAATTTTTGTTTCAAACTCGATTGAAATTAATGAAGATTTGGAATTAGAATTTAATAGCGAATTTTTAAATTTTACTGATCATCAAAAACATTTAGGTGTTATTTTTAATTCAAGGGCGAAATGGGGGGATCATATTTGTGCAATATATACTTCAGTTATGAAAAAAAGTCAACGTCTTACGTAGACTCAAATACTTCTTGAATCGAGATAATCTTTTAAAGATTTATATTTTTTTTACCAGTTTTAGAATATGCTTGTGAATTGTGGGATGGTTGTACAACTTATGAAACCGAAATGTTAGAGAAAGTCTAAAGAATAGCTATTCGTATAATTACTGGACTTCCTATTTATGCCAGAATCGAAGATTTACTTTTTGAATCTGGTCTAGAAACTCTTTCGAATCGCAGAAAACGCAGAAAACTTCAACTTTTGTATAAGGTGCACAATAAATTAACTCCGGACTATTTAAATGATTTATTGCCGTCTACCGTTGCAGAAAATAACCGTTACGCCCTTAGAAACAATAATGATTATAGAGTTCTTCCTTTCAGGCTTTCTCTAACAAATTCATCCTTTATACCTTCAACTCTTCGTAGTTGGAATTCATTGGACCTTTCAGTACGATCATTGACTTCTTTACATTCTTTTAAAAACTCGTTAACTTCAAACGTACTATCTCCTCCGCCAATCTATTTAGGTTTCGGTGAACGTAAATTAAACATTTTTCATAGAAAACTTAGATATCAGTGTAATCCACTTAAATATGATCTCTATAGGGTAAATCTTGTTGATAGTCCAGTTTGTAATTGTTGCCATCCCTGTGAAAATGCCTTTCACTTTTTTTATTATGAGTGCTTACTTTTTAACGACGAAACACGCATCCTGTTCCAAAATTTAAATGCCTTGAATGTTGATTTTGATTAAGAATTACTTTTGTTTGGTAATACCCAACTTTCGGTGGAAGTCAATATAACAGTTTTAGACAAGTGTATCTTTACATCAAATCCAGCAATAGGTTTTGATAATGATTATTATCATTCCTTATTTTTACTTATATGTGTACGTTGTTATATATGTTTATGAAATTGCATTTCATTATTTTGCCTTATTACTTTGTTACATTGATCGTGTTCATTTTAAAATTACTATAACGGGCTGCATGTCATGGAATTTTATATAATTTATAATTTATTCAAATGCGGATCCTTTTCACAGTTTACACGATTATTTTCTAGGTAGCCCCATTCCCTATCCCCCCACCCACATCCATACCCTTCCTTCACCATCCTATCCTCCCGTTCCCCAAAGAACATATACATTGTATTTACCATATGTATTAGGAGAGGACTGTTATTTAGTTGTTATAACTTGTTGTCCAATCCACTTGTATATTTGTACAATAAAACATGTTTAAACTAAAAAAAAATAGGAATAGCATCAATATCCTTCTTCTTCCGTTGGGATGAAGGTATTTTGACCAAATTTGAACAGTAGTATCCTTCGGGGAAGGGAAATAAATTTTGTATAAATTGTGGGTCTGAATTCCCTGGGGACAGAGGGGCGGGACTAAAAAGGGAAAATAAAATAACAGTTTTGAAATCCTTCTTCTTCTGTAGGAATGACAGGATTTTTTCAATATATGGTTTAAATCATCCTTGGGTGAAAGGGACTTAATTTTGTATAAACGGTCGGTTTGACCATCCGGTGAGCAGAAGGGTCTGGCCCAATAGGGGAAACATAGCAAATTCTTCATAATCCCCATTTTCCCTTAGGAATGACATGATTTTGTCCAATTGCATGTTCAAATAACCTGGAACCTGACTTACCATGTAATAAATGCTCATTACCAGCAACATCTGACTATTTCAACTTCATTTTTAGTAACATTTCCAGGTGAGCAATACAGGCCCTCTGGGCTTCTTGCTTAGATATTGAGCCACTCAAAATATTTCGCATTTCTGGAGTAGTGGTCATTTAATTATGGCCACCATATTAAATATATTACGGTATCTATTCATGGCTTATTTTTCTAAAATACCTCACTGCAATCTAGTAAAAACATCTGTATTCGTTATTTGAGTTTATTATCTCTTTCAGTTTTTAAATTCATTAAATGTTACAGCATGCATATTTTCACACAACATAGATAAAACTTGAAATAGGATGTCTTAGCAATTTGTCATCTGATAATGAAGATGTACATAAATGTTTTGAATAGCATTCTGAAAAAGATAGCTGAATGATAATATTTAAATATTTTTGTTTTATTGAACTTTATTAGTAGATCTGAATCTGTTGTGATTTTCATTAAGAATATAATGTCAAAACAATTTGCATGTTATAATGAATTTGGAAAGAATAGCTTAAGTTTATTTGTTATTTCTTTATTTTCACAAAATACACTTTGGAGAAGTCACTTTTACATTTTACCAAGAATGCATTGTGTTTGGCAACATAATTACTATATAGTTTCGCTGTTAATTTGGGGATATCTGTAACACTGAAGGTACGGATTAATTTTGACCAAGTAAGGCTGCATTGAAGTTCACATGTATTCAGGTGATATTTTATCTATAAACCCATGTTCTTCTGATGTGGACTAGCATTGCAACTTCAATTGCAGACAGATTCGATTATAGTGACCACAGGCAGAAGTATCAACCAATCTGTGTTTTCTCTCTTCCAGTGCTAGTCCAAACGTTGATGATCTTCCACTTTTACCAATATTGAAGCATTGCTGCTTTGCTAAACAGCTATTTGAACATTTGGACAACTGTACATGGTGAGTATACTACATTACTTACTTAGTTTAAGTAGCATTAATAAGTCACGAATCGAAGAATTTATTTCAAAAACGGATGCCATCCAGTATAAATTCTTTGCAACTTCCGATTTCACTGAATTCCATAGTAAGCATATCAAGATTGAAAAAAAATATAAGCTGTTTCTTTGCATTGACATCTTACTTCCTATAATAGTTGTTTTCTGATTTTGTCGTGTCGCGGTTTTCCTAAACATGCTAAAGATTATATTTTTTATCCAATTTTCCTTTTTCCATTTGGTTAAATTGTAGTTTTCTCCACCCCATTATCCTGCAAAAGTAATATGCTTTTTCGAGATTGTATTAATCCCAAAACATTCACAACTGTAGATATCAACTCTGCTGTTATAACCGAGGTACTGTAAAGGGATATACAGTAGCTTAATACTTTAACTGATGACATTTCGACATCTCTCTTTCAGATTTAGACATGGGTGACAGGATCTACAGAACCAACTTTCTAGAGCTGGATGGATTAACATTTAGTTTTAATATGACCAATCACCTCGACCCTCTGGTATCAGAGGACGATAGTTTAACAGCAATCTGCGAGAAGATTTCAAGTTATCATCAGTTGATGTTTCCAAACTGGACAAGACTCAGGGCGGATTTTCGTATTATTAGAATAACCCCAGAAAATGAACTTTTTGAATATCTCGATGCAAACTCCCGGGGAAAACTTCTTAATTGGCTTATCTTCTCCCGGGTTGGCGACCAAATAATTGTTACTCACTTTGGTCCTTTTGGAAAGAAAAAAGAAAACGACTTTGAAGACAATGTAGACCAAACACGCCTTAGTCTACAGAAGTTAAGAGATATTTGGCTTCAAGTGCGTTCCTCATCCAAGCCTCAAAGCCAAAAAGAGACAGAACTAAAGGCTATTCGCACCAAGATATTGGAGGAATTCTGGGGGCTGATAAAAGCTAGCGAGGAACAAATTGAGGCAAAAAAGAGAGAGTTGAAAGAAGTTACAGAATTTGTTTTCGAAAGCGAAGATAAAAGAGCACGTATCGCTCACCAAATTGAAAAGATAACGATTAAAACAGGATGGGTACTTGTTCGACAAATAGTGAGAGCGCTGGTGATGGAAATCACAATAGAAATCGCAAAAGTGGTTGCTAAGATGGCAGCCAAGCAAACAGCCAAACAAGGTGCCAAAGGTGCATCGAAGGGAGTCGCCAAAACCACAGCGAAGGCCGTTCCATTTCTCGGGTTGGTGGTGGGTACTGGATTTGCAATCTGGAGGCTGGCAGAAGGAGATGTTGCAGGCGCAGGACTGGAGATTGCTTCCGGGGCAGCATCCTGCGCACCTGGAGCAGGAACTGCAACTGCCTTGGCAATCGACGCTAGTCTCCTTGTCAAGGACGTAAAGAACGTAATTGATATAGCGGCGGAAAAAAGGGAAAAAATGGAGGTATATTGCAGGAGATTTACTTACGAAAAGCAAATGAAACGCGAGCTTACTTTGACATGAAACATGCATGTTACATCAAATGTCAGGATTTGCTCTTATCTAGACAATTTTTAACAGCATTTCACAAGGCATCGTTATCAGTGAAATGTTCAAGCATTTAATCTTATATTTTCAGAGGGAAAAAGTCAAATTCGTGATTTAATGCGTATTTGATTGGCCTGCTTGTTTGAGTCCTTAAAACTTGTTATTACACCTCTACTTTATTTACTCTTGATAAAAGTAATTGGTTAAATCGAATATATCCCTACTTTTGCATGAGTGTGTTTTAGTCTTGTGTGTTAGTCTGGGAACTAAAACACACCTACACTCGGGTGTTTCCGCCGAGCCAATCAGGCGAGAGGTAGGCGGAGCTTGCTACCGAACTCGGAAGCATTGGCTCCATCATTGCCATCAAAAGGGTAGCTGGGACGTGAAGCTTATACAGCTTATGGTTAACTATTTTCAAGATAAAACTATCTCTCCAGTGTGTATCGGTACAATAACACGGTTAAAGTATGGGCTGGAGGCTTCGCCTCGGGAAATAGACCTGGTCTCGGGGACACCAGAAACTTGCTATATCCCTCAACCCCATACTTTAACTGTATCAGACACGACGCTATAAAACAAATGTGAAAAAGGTCTATATAGGGATGAGATGTAAATAGTACTTCAGATCATGTTCAAAATGAACTAATAATTCTACTCGTTGGCGATGGATCTTTTTACCTTTGGAAACGATGAACTTCATTTCGTTGGCATTTTCGTTGTCTTAAACAAGGCTTTAGTGGCAACAAGGTTCCATTAGTCCTGATAGCGCACCCTATATGTTGTTGTCCCTCTTATTGATACGATTGACCCCTATTTTCTTTTTTGTAGGCTCTGAAAGCTGTCACCGAGAGGATCGAAAGGGAACTTATTCATCTTTTCGAAGAGTGCGAAAAAGCCAAGGCAGAGTACGACTTTGTACGCAAGGTTTTAGGAGACCCTGGATATGATTTTAAAAAATTGGAGCGCGATATCAAAGTTGTGGACAAGGTTTTGCGTGAACTTCATAATAACTGAGAAATCTTCTCATTTCCAATCTTTACAAAGACTAACATGGCTAACGTGTCTTTTCAAAATCTTTTGTGATAAGAACATTCAAAAAAATGTTGGCACATTAATTTTAGAATTAAAATGTTAATAAAGGGGAGCCCAGCGAAAGTCTGAGTAAAGCAATTGGAGCCCAACAGACGAAGTTGGCGAAGACGAGAATAGCCATAAGTGTTCCGATGGTAACATCATCACTCCAGGACATGTAATTATTGTTTTGCTCTTGCAAGTTAAGTATTGATGTAGCAACAACAGATACGAGTTTTAAGTGTTGTCTGCAAAAGCAAATCATTTCAATATTTGTAAGTATAACGCATGTGTCAATATCAGATCAATCAAATTCATCATGAAATATATATGCACGATTGCTTTGGTTTAGTTGCAGAATACAGCATGAATACAACATGTCTCATCCCTTACACAGACATGGGAAACACTTACTTAACTGCTTATATGATAGAAACAAAGTTTATGTGAAATTATTGTTTATACTGTTATATAATGTGTAAATGTACCATACGTCATGTCCTGATGCCATAGTCTTATATAATCTTGTTAAAATTTTCAACGGAGTCCGAGCCAGAAGAAATAATAGTTTAAATACTTTTCTGAGGCTAGAACCAGAGAAAGCTAACAGAAATAACAAAAGTGTCAGTAGTTGTGCTGCTATTTACATATATTGTCTGACACGAGCGCCTCTAGTGGCAAACCTTCTCCAACAAAAAATGGGATAAGAAACTAAACCTGATTACTGTCACATAAGAGTACACATGACGTCATGTTCTTACTATTGTGACTCCAAGTAAATGTTATCGTAAAATGGGTATTGCACGCCCGTTAAGATAACCCATTCTCTGACGACTACTCCCTCAATGTACCACGTGACATCTGTCAGCCGCTGTACCTAGTGATTTAGTTCTTGTCACCGTTGTAATGTGTTATGCCGTATGACAGCAAACTCAATCATGTGGTATTGAATATCTACATTTGTACGAGATTATGTAGCACTGACAAACGCAGGCGTATGGTATAGTAGCTATGGAGAGTTCAACAATACAATTCCAAAAGCATACTGCTTTTCATTGACGCGCAGAATAGGGTAGAAATACTCATTTCTTTTGCGATACAGTCGCGTTCTATATTTGCATGTGTTTACTGTAGACATATTTTTGTATTAACCACTGTGACTATGTATATAAAAGCAATTGTATATCATTTTTCTTCATGTAAATTTGGAATAAATCAAATGTTAAAATATACACAAACTTCAGTAGTACAGAATTACATCAAAATACAACTTTATTTTATTCTTTAAATCACGTAATACAATCGTATTTATAAGTTACTCTGTCAACCGTACATAAACAATATAAATGATTTTTACATTAACAGAAAAAAGTCTGTTGCAGTTCTCCATTTAGACTATAGATAATACATAAGGTTTTACTGAGTAGACAAATATAACGTGTTTTTTTAAACCAATGACTAGAATCTCACACCAAACATACAGAATATATAAATGACTCAAACAAATAGTTGGGATGCAACAGTATCCAGCATGAATCTAAACAAGTATCTATTTCAAATACACAATAACTGACTCGTTTGCTTTCTTAATGTTATTATGTTCATAATTAATCAAAATCAAAAATGTTTATTGTTGACACATATAATTTCTCAATTTCGCTTTAACGGTTCTGTCAGCAAGAACTAAAATTCAGAAAAATAAAGACGAAAATAAAAAAACAAGCAATATAAATTGTATTGTTATTTAAATGCGCCTGTCATGAACAACGACTGTGTGTTTTTGGACAATTTCCCGCGAAAAAGGACACAAAATGGAGATCTTGCAAAATAATTATGAATGATTTGCAAAATGTATTTTTGTTGCTTTCAGATATGAATTTTGAACATAAAAAATCCATTATAATTTACGTTTTGTACTTCTCAACTTAACCAACTGTCATCTGTAGTTTTAGTTTAGTTTAAACATATTTTATTGCCAAAAAAATGCAAGAGGATTGGGCACAAGTTACATGAACATTATTAACGCCCTTTCCTTATAAGATAAATAATTGTATATACACATCATAAGATGGATTTCATAGTTTAAATCAATACATTTATCTATTATTGGGAGAGAGAGAGAGAGAGAGAGAGAGAGAGAGAGAGAGAGAGAGAGAGAGAGAGAGAGAGAGAGAGAGAATGTTACTTATTCATTGCAGTTTATAAATTATAATGTACATCTCAATATTCAACATATAATGCACACATTCATTCTTACTTTTATTTACAAATTATGGTATATTTTGAAATTTGGTCATGAAAATGGAACCATCCAGCACAGTCAGCGCAGTGATATCCTGGCACTATTCCATACTTTCAACTATTCAACAGTTCGTCACGTCCCGTGCTTTGTGTCTTTCTCCTTTTCATTCCATCCTTTCTCGAAAATTCGTTTCTACCGCACTGGCTGTAACTGAATGGCCCATCACATGCCTATATTACATACATTCCAGCACACGCACACTTCTTGCATTCACGCTCTCGTGCACTTAAAAGAAAGTTAAACATTACAGAGGATTACTAAAATAATAAGGAACACACAAGTGTACGTTATGCCATGTAATACGGACACAAGCTAAGAAATGAATATGAAAGATAATGAGGACTGTTGGAGAGGAGACAGAAGAACGTGACCAAATTTAAAACCTGCGAGTACTCGATACATACTGTTGGACATATATAAATACATTTTTATTTTCGTCACTCGAATAATCTTCATGGCCATACAATAATTTCTCTAAGCTTAGAGGTAAGTATTCATGAAGATTTCTAAACATTTCAACTCTTTGATCAGTATATATACTGCATGTAAAAAAGAAATGATGAGCATTTTCATTAGGATATCCACATGCACAAATAGGAGAGTTGATTAGGTTAACATTAAAGAGATCATCATTTAAAGGGCTGCATTTATGACGGAGTTTGGTTAGTAAAATATTTAACTTACGGTCACCGGCTAAATAAAAAACAGGCACTTTAAATGTTTCATTTTGTTTTTTGAGGCAGTTTGTGAAGCTCTTAAAAGAATGTGCAGTTTTAATATTAGTGTCAAGCTCATTCCATAGTCTTAAAGTAGAAGGTATGAACGAGTTGAGTGAAGATTGTAAGCGGAAATTAGGAATGGAATAGTTCTCAGAGTTTCTCAAATTATAAGGAGTTAAAGTAGCTACTAGTGGCGGGAGAAGGTCAGTTAGGTAAGAGGGAGTCATATTGTTGTGAATTTTGTAGAAAAGTTGAAGTTTGCGGCGGGTGCGACGTTGAGACAAGACTTCCCAACCAGTTTCGAAGTAAAGAGACGCTCTACTAGCAAAAGATGGCAGGCCGGTGACAATACGCGCCGCTTCTAACTGGAGTTTTTCAAGTTTATTTGCATCGGCAGTTGTACAACCGTCCCAAACTTCGCAACAGTATTCAAGCAGAGGGAGTATAAAAGTAAGATAAATTCTGTTTAATGTCTTGCGATTTAAAGTATATTTTAACTTGCGGAGAATTCCTATTTGTTTCGTAACAGTTTTACAAATGTTATCAATATGGTGAGTCCATTTACAGTTAGCATCTAGGAAAATGCCTAGATGTTTATGATGTTCGATAAAATCAATATTAACATTATTAAAAATGAGATTGACATCAAGCTCAGCATTGGTATTTGAAATTAGTAGCGCTTCAGTTTTATTAGGATTAAATTTAACAAGCCAATTTTCTGCCCAGTTATGAATTTTTTCAAGATCTCGGTTAGTAGTAGTTTCTAGTTCAATTGCGGAAGGAGAAGAGACGGATAGGGAAGTATCATCAGCAAAAAGACGGGAAGGGCTGACAAGGTTATCAGTTATATCGTTGATATACAAGAGAAAAAGAAGCGGACCTAAGACAGAGCCCTGGGGTACACCAGCATTAGTTGTTTTAGTATGAGAAGTAACATTGTGGATGAAGACTTGTTGATGGCGATTCTGTACATAATCGGATAGCCAGTCTAAAAGATTTCCATTTATTCCATAGCTTTTTAATTTGTGTACAAGACCTGCATGCCAAACCCGATCAAAAGCTTTGGAAATGTCGCAAAAAACAAGACAGGTATGATGACGGTTTTCTAGATTTATGCATACATTATGATAAATTTCAATTAGTTGATGTACTGTTGAGTGACCTGGCTGAAATCCAGATTGGTATTTATATAACAATGAATTTTCTAATAAATAATTATGCAGAAATTTTGTAATAACTTTTTCAAAAACTTTCCCTACAGTGCTTAATAAAGCTATTGGTCTATAATTACTGGGGCATTGTTTATCGCCTTTCTTAAAAATGGGCATGACTAAAGCTTTTTTCCAGGAATTGGGATAAATTCCTTGATCAAGAGACTTTCTGAATATAAGAAATAGCGGAAATGAAACATAAAGAGCTGTGTTTTTAAGCATTTGGTGACTAATTTTATCATATCCAACAGCTTTACCTAATTTAAGAGACTTAAGGATGTCAACAATATCAGCTTGTGTAAAAAATATATTATCTATGCGACTTTGGGTTCTCATATCAACTTGTGGTAAAGGTACACCTGAGTCGTCTATAGTAGAGATAGACACAAAATAGTCATTTAAAATATTAGCTTTTCGTTCATCATCTACTGCAGTAGAATTAGTAATAGGGTCTTTTAGAGGAGGTATAATGTAAGATACATCTGCACTTTTAGTTAATCTCCGAACCAGTTTCCAAAAATTCTTTTGATTAGTTTTTGCATAGTTATCTAAAAGTCCATTAATATCAGCATAAAAAAGTTCTCTTGTTCTACGTTTGAGATTGTTGACATGATTTCTATGTTTTTTAAATTTAGCTAAATTCTCTATAGAAAAAACTCTTTTTAATTTTTTATGCAATCTATTTCTAATTCTAATTTCACGACGTAGTTCAGTAGTAAACCACGGTTTATCATTTGGTCTAACAGTAATAACCTTAGTTGGAATACAAAGATGAGCATATTCCAAATACTTATCTGTAAAAATCGAACACATATCGTCGCATGTGTAAGCATTTCTAAATACGTATTGCCAATCGGTGTTTTGTAACAGGTTATTAAATTTAGGATAGTCAGCATTTTTATAACACCAAATCATGCGTTTAAATTTGTTAGTAAGAAAAATGTTTAGTTTAATTTCAACGAGAGTAGCGTCATGGTCCGAAATGTCCCTGTCAATTTCAATAACATCGGAAAAACCAACAACGCATGTATCGCTCACGAGCACGGGGTCAAGGAGCGAAGCACGTGTTTGGCCTACCCGAGTTGGTTGGTTTATTACATTAGAAAACAGATACGTGCGGATAATGTCGTTCAGTTTATGACGAGTCTCAACCAGTAGGTCAACGTTTATGTCACCAACTATAATGACATGTGGGTTTTCATCAAGTGCATTTTCAATGGAGTTTTCAAATTGTTCCCAAAATGGATTTACACAGTCATTTGGTCTATATACTGTACATAGAAGATACGAGGAGTTATTAAAAATAATTTCGACCCAGATGGCCTCACCTGATGGAAATTCTAAATCCAAACGCCGCTGGGCAGAAATTAAAGGCGAAATATAAACAACGACACCCCCACCCTGTGAGTATTCACGGTCTTTCCGGAAAGGATTATTATTAAAACCTGGAAGTGCTATTTCTTCGTCAGATATACTGTTGTCTAAGTGGGATTCCGTGATACATACTACGTGAAATTCGTCTGCAATATTTTCAAGGTGAGTTAGCTTATTTCGTAAACTACGTATATTTAAATGGAAAATTGTTAATTCATCGGAAGATACATCAGGCCCAGGGTTTTCATGTATGTCCATGCAAATCAATAATAAAAGATGGAGGATAAGGATGAAATTAGTGTTACTGAAATAGCTATGTATAACATAAAAGAGAATACTGTATTGTGTGGTCTTAAATGTAAGAAGAAGGATTTCAAATAGATTTATAAATTCATCAAATACGAAATTTAAATTAATTTTAAATATTGAAGATGAGCTCGAGTGGTTACAGTGTGTACGCATGTAGAAATTGCCGACCGCCACCCTGTGTGCTACAATATCGTTACCCATTATCAAGAACGGTCATGGTTGGGTGGCTATCGGCAAAGAACATACGCACGTGCGTATACACCTGTCCAACAGTACAAACTGTAGATTTAGGTACACTCAGATTTTATCTTAACTCTGAAGCAACCTTTGTAATCAAATTAGGACACGATTTGAAAATTTGGAATGAAAATGAAGATTTCAATTAAGAAGGAAATACATATTAACTATCGGATGATGATTTGATGATATATATGTACAACTCCTAAAGATGACAGCACAAAATACCAACGGAATGTTAGATGTATTGACCGTTGTTCATAAGCTAACAATTTAAGAAAATATTGAGACGGAAACATTCTGTCACAGGGCGATCACCATCTTATGGCTACATAGGTATCCCCATCCTAATTGAGATACTACTTGGCAGGAATGTTTATATTGATTTTACAGAATTCATGTTGTCAGATGACCTCCCCCTGTTGGAGCTTTTTTGTTTTTCTGTGACGTCAATGCCCTCGTCGTCGTCCGCCATCTGGAAGTGGACAAATCGGGCTGTGAGACCCTGGTGTTGTTCTTTAGATTCATCTACGTCAGCATGTCCAAGTAGGGCTTGTTGAGCCTCGTCCTCGTCCTCGTCGTCATCTTCACTCTCCACGACCACGTCACCAGTTACGTCTGAATTCTTGCTTAGAGGAGGGGTTTCCACGTTCTCTTCGGATATTGGATAGAATATGTCGTCTGTGACAGCTGATCCGGAAATGTCCTCCCGTGGATCCCAGGTGTTGGGGGCATCGGTGTACACATCACTTAGGCACGACGTTTCTGTGTAGTTGCCACTCTGACTGGAAGAATATGTATCCGAGCTGAATTGATGCCCATAAGTGGGACGAGTCTGATGACCACTGCTCTTTCTACTGGCAGGAAAGAAGATGACATACTCGCTCGGGCTTCTTGTGAAAGGTGGTGGAGTGCTCGCCTCTTGCCCATCTGAGTAACGCTTTATTACCTCGCCAAACTCGTCAGAGGACACATTAGTTTCGCGGACAATACTCAGTTTTCGTTCACACTGACTTTCAAGTAGATCGTTTCGTACTTGAGTGATGATTGGGGATTCAGCCTCTTTTGGCGTTCCCTTAGGGGTAAGGTTTGGCGAGGGGGCCCCTGTACTTATCTTGAGCGAATTCTTTGACCCTTTGAAACTCATGGATACCTGCGTTACTGAACTGTTAATAGGATGAATGACATTGTGAAGCGCTAAACTGTCTTTCCTAGACTGAGTTAAAGACTTACTGGTCACAGTAATTTTATACTTGCCCGTCTTATCCTTACATATACCGTATTTGTCAAGGATTGCTAACATGTCTTTTCGAAATTGTTTGGTGATTATGACATACAAAAATGGATTGGCACATGAATTCAAGGGATAGAAGAAAACCAGGAGTATTTTCGAATTTGAAATGTCAATTAATGGAAAGCCACCGGAAGCTGTTAGTCCGAAGAAAGCAATTGGAGCCCAACAGACGAAGTTTGTGAAGACGAGCATAGCCATACGCTTTGCAATGGTAGCATCATTACTCCGGGCCGTGGAATCACTGTTTCTCACTTGCCAGTACATGTTGATGTAACAAAAGCAGATACACAGGAATGCCACGCCATTGATCATCAGCAGAGAGATGACATACGCCTGATCAGTCGCGTTGTCAATTTGCATTGGCAGACATACGCTAACGTTACCATAATTACTGATACCGACAAGGGGAAGCATGGACATGACGATAGCGTACAGCCAGCCGACCGCCATCACAAAAACAGCCTGACGTAACTTAAGTCTTTTGGTGAGGTGTATGGCGTGACTTATCGCGTACCAACGTTCCAATGTTATGACGGTTAGTGTAAAGATAGACAACTCGGACGAGAAGACGGTCAGAAAACCAGCTGTCTGACATCCACCTTCGTTTTGCCACAATATAGCGTAGTTGAAGTATTCTCCAAGGGTATGGACGTCAATAGATGCCAGCAGCAACAAATATATACCCATGAGAAAATCGGCAAAAGCTAGGTTACACATTAGGAATTTGGGTACAGTCATTTTCCTTTTGCTTGAAGCTAGTACCAACAGGACCACACTATTACCAAGGATTGCTGCCATTACAACAAACCAAACGAAAATCCGGAGCCACTCATACCCCATGACATCCTCACACGGATTGAACGCGTCCGGTGTTGGTGTGCAATCCACCTCCCTATAGTTTTCCTCTCGGAAAATAACTCCACACTTTACATGCATTTGGCGTTTATTTTCTGGCACAGGTGGCTGGTACCAAGGAAATGTGTCGATCATGGAAGGGACATCCGTGGGTAAACCAGCCCAACTCTCCTCAAAGTCGAGTTCTGCCGGGTTGTCTGACACACCGTCCTGTAGAAAGTCGTCAAATTTCCTCCGTTTCCGTCGTCGGGACAACGATCCAAATGTAGTAGAAATGTCCGTCTGATGCTGTGTGGTAGGCGAGGCGGACGTGGCACAATCCTGATGTATCCGGCGCTGAGCCTCCTCGTACGCACGCTGCTTTTGATCCCGGCGCTTTTCTGGACTCTCCTTCTCCGGAATAAGAAATGCACAGCAGTGATGAGGATAGTACAGTCGTGCCTTCTTGATCTTATTAAACGTCCACACGGACGGGAAATGACGCAGAGATTTAGTATCCTTCAGGATCAGTTCCTCAACTTCGGAAATGCCAGATGTTGGGAGGCTGGTGATAGCGGTTCGGGACAAGTCTCTGTAAGTGTAGGAAACAAGGAAAATATGTTTGAGAGTAGGCAGGCAATGATAATTTATAAAAAAAATCTTTGAAATCGCTTAAGATAATTCAAGTGTTGTGATGATACTTTTGTATCCCTAAGAACATTTAATTCAAATTTGGTGGATACGCCTTCATTTATTTTAACATAAAGGTATATTCAACCATTCGAACGAACAAAACTAACCAGAAACACAACATACTTTATGTTTTGCGAAATACACACTTATAAGTGGAACACTTCCCATTTAGTTTCGCTCCCCTAACTATGAAATGAATAAAACAATAAACAAAATATATACAAATAAAGTCTAAGTGTAAATAACGTGGTCAGTTCAATAGCAGATCGTGTAAGATTTAAATTAGTGATATTCAGATGGTAAATACATGCAGGAAAATAAATAAGTACTACATGGCATAAAGTTCAAAATAATCCCCTTCGAATTACGTTCACAAAAACCCTTATATTTTAGCACATTTCACACAAAAAATAGTGAAAGAGGCAAATGGAGCTTTCTGCAGATCTACAACTTACAATTTCTTTAAATCATGGATTGCTGAGAAAGCGCCATCTTCTAGAACGGTCAATGATGGATTATCGCTGATCTGTCTGTAGATAGGAGGAAGGACAATAATTACCGACGTGAAAGCAGGTAAATATCAAACAATATATACTGTATATATCACACAACATATACTGTGAATATTACACAACACATACTGTATATATCACACAACATATACTGTAATTATCACACAACACATATAGTTAATATTACAAAACATATACTGTAATTATAACACAACACATACTGTAAATATTACACAACATACACTGTATATATCACACAACATATACTGTAAATATTACACAACATACACTGTATATATCACACAACATACACTGTATATATCACACAACATATACTGTAAATATTACACAACATACACTGTATATATCACACAACATATACTGTAAATATTACACAACACAGACTGTATATATCACACAACATATACTATAATTATCACACAACACATATAGCTAATATCACACAACATATACTGTAAATATTACACAACATACACTGTATATATCCCACCAAATTAACTGTAAATATTACACAACATACAATGTATATATCACACAACATA